TTTTTGAATGGCACGGTCTGTCACACCCTGCTGATTAATTCTGGTATTAAATGAAAGGTTTTCTGGAAAGCTAATTTTAGCAGACAAAAGATGAATCTAAAATGCTATATTTACATATCTCTTACTTGAAATTTAAAATGGCCAAATAAAGAGGAGTGTTGAAAACACTGCAGTCTAGCATGGCTTTTGTAATGATGATATGGACTATTGATTTTTTTCTTTCATTTTACAATAATGCTTATGAAACATTATTTAACATTTTGTAATATAAATTTCCTAACTAAAATATTCTCTCTGGTTTACTTAATGTTTATATATATTAATGCAGTACAAAATTATTGAAAAAGTTAGATAAGGATCACTTTGTTTGAACATGTTTCTTTGTTTCTGAAGAGTGAGTTCTTGTGGAGTAAAAATAGAAGTTTTATTTTTCCGAGTTTAAAACTTCAGCCCAGCTTATGTCTTAAGATAGTTTTATGCTGAAGGCAAATTATATATTTTTGTTTTGAGTCTAATAAATTTTATGCATTTTAACTTCAGTTGGTTAACTATATTTATTACCTGTGAATTCTGTAAAATGTTTCTTTGAGGATATTAACTTTGGCAAAGGCAAGTAATAGGTTTAATAGATAAGAATTCCCCTTTATTTAAACATTGTTTTTTTTAATACATTAGCATAAAAATTTTGCCATTTAGTTAATATATTTTAAGTTAGCATAACCAGGGCCTTTACCAACAAGTTAAAATTTTTCTTGATTTAGCTTCATTAATTAGACCATTACTAGTAACAGTGAGAGTATTTTTCTTTATAAAATGTATGCTCATATTGCAAAAGTTCTGTTAGGTGTCAATATTTTGGCTCATGGTTGATTTTTTCTCAAACCATGGGGCATATTTACTAATAGAACAGTGTACATGCACATAATCTCATATTTTAAGTTTTATAGACTTCAGCTTAGAAATGTATAATATATTTTTGTTTTAGTACTGTTTCCAACAAGTTTCATGGTACCTGTTTGTTTTATGCTTTGGTTTTATATTATTACAGATTGTGCTCCACTTACTGTCTTCCCTCTTTATGCAGCATTACCATCAGCACATCAGTTAAGAGTATTTCAACCTGTTGCAAAGGTAATGGTAAAAAATGTCCACCAATAGAAATCAAAGAATTCAATATTAAATTATTAATATTTAAAAAATATAATTTTTATATAACATGTTTGGAGGATGATGTTTTAAATAGGATTTATAAAGAAACTAACTGAATGAAATTTTAAAACATTGTTAAAGAGCTATTGTATGTATTTGCTGAAATAAGAAATGTCAATATAGAAATTCAAGAAGTCAATTTTTTATTATGATAATGCTTATATTTGAGAACAATATAGTACCACAGAAAATGAATTTCATAAAAACAACCAAAACCTTGAATAGTTGATTATTCTTCAGGAAATTAAAAGGGATGCTAATTCTACCACCACAGAAAAAGTAGTGGATATTATGAACAAGTACACAAAAATAAGATATTAACTCTTTCAGCAAATTATAGTTTTCATGCTATAACTTTTAATTTAGTAAGTGAATGTTAACAAAATTTGGCAGATTATCAGTAAACATTACAATGCATTCATATGCAAAATATAAAATTTTTTTTATTAAGTCTTAAGGTTTGTAAAGCAATGTTTTTCTCATGCCTTTTTTTTTCTTTTTACATGTTGCCTATCTGTCATGCAAAGTAATTTTCATTTGAAGATTAAATATACTTTTATGCATCAGAACATTTTCCAATTTACACATGTGAAATCTTTATCATGTCCAAATAGTT